AAAGCAGTATGGTACTGGCACAAAATCAAGGGAATAGGATAGAAAGCCCAGAAATAAACCCATATTCTTATGGTCAATCAATCTATGACAAAGGAGGCAAGAATATACAATGGAGAAAAGACAGTCTCTTCAGCAAGTGGTGCTGGAGAAACTGGACAGCTGCATGTAAAAGAATGAAATTAGAACATTGTCTGTCACCATATACAAAAATAAATTCCAAATGGATTAAAGGCCTATTTAAGTGTAAAAATGTTAAACTTCCAACAAGAAAACAGGCAGAACACTCTTTGACATAAATCATGGTGATTATATTTTGGAACCGTCTTCTAAAGTAAAGGAAATAAAAGCAAAAATAAACAGAAGGGATCTAACTAAAAAGCTTTTGCACAGCAGAGGAAACTATGACAAAACAAAAAGACAATGTATTGAATAGGAGAAAATGTTTTCAGATGATACAACTAATAAAGGATTAATACCCAACATATGTAAACAGCTCATACAACTCAATGCTTTTAAAAAAATTTTAAAATAGCCCAAAGAAATGAGTAGACACTTTGCCAAAGAAGAAATGCAGATGGCCAACAGGCACATGAAAAGATGCTCAACATTGCTAATCGTCAGGGGAATGCAAATCAAAACCACAAAGATGTATCATCTCACATCTGTCAGAATGGCTATCATCAAAAAGCCTATAAAGAACAAATGTCCACAAGGAGATAGAGAAAAGGGAATCCTTGTACACTGTTGATGGGAATGTAAATTGGTGGAACCACTGTGGAGAAAAATAGGGAGATTTCTCAGAAATAATATGACTCAGTAATTCCACTCCTGGGTATATATCCAAAAAAACCCCAAACCACCAATTCAAAAAAATGCACGCACCCCAATGTTCATAGCAGCATTGTTTATAATAGCCAAAGTATGGAAACAACCTAAGTGTCCATTAACTGTTGAATGGACAAAGCAGCTGTGTGTGTGTGTGTGTGTGTGTGTGTGTGTGTGTGTGTGTGTGTGTGTAAAGGAATACTACTCAGTCATAAAAAAAGAACAAAGTTTTGCCATTGTAGTCACATAGATGGACTTGGAGGACATATGGTACTGCGTATATGTGGAATTTAAAAAGTATGACAAATGAATATAACATAAAATTAGCAAAGTTGTTGCTAACAGAGAACAACCTAGTGGTTACCAGTGGGGAGAGGAAAGTGGGGGGGGACAGTATAGATGTGGGAGAGTGGGAGGTGCAAACTGTTGAGAGTCTGATAAACTCAAGGATGTATAATACAACACTAGTAATTGCAAATATTTTGTAATAACTGTAAATGGAAAGGCACCTTTAAAAATTGTATAAAAGTTTTTTAAAAATTTTAAAACAAAAAAACTAGGGAAAGTAGCAGGTTGAAAGAGAAAACAGCACAGTGTGTTTCTAACCTCTAAATGAGTAAAAAGTGGGCTTTATAAAACAAGACATTTCTAAAGTTGAATTTCTGACTTGGCATATACTTGTGACTTTTGCAAATTACTTAGCCTCTCTGAGTATGCTTTTTTATTAGTAAAATGAGGTTATATTACAAAATTTGTGAGTTCCTTTGGAGATTAGATGGCAGAAATATCGGCTGCTTGACTGAGCCCTGACATGTAATTTTATTGAGCCCTACATTTTTGCCTAAGCACTATTCAGGATTTATCTTCACAATAACACCCAATTTGTGGTTAGATAATTATAACACAGATATTAAGTATCTGATTAAGATCACACCAATAAGTAACAGTCACAGGATTTTAACTCAGACATTCTGACCTCAAGAACCCAGACTCTTAACTATTGTGTTCTTTTTTTAAATTTTATTTATTTATTGGCTGTGCTGGGTCTTTGTTGTTGGGTGCAGGCTTTCTATAGTTACGGCAAGTGAGGGCTAGCTACTCTTTGTCTTGGTGTATGGTCTTCTTGTTGTGGAGCACAGGTTCAGTAGTTGTGGCACACAGGGCTTATTTTCCCTCTGGCATGTGGAATCTTCCCTGATCAGGGATCAGACCTGTGTTCTTTGCATTGATTGATAAGCGAATTCTCAGCCACTTAACTGTCAGGGAAGTCCACCAGTGTGTTATTTCTTATGTTCTTAAAATTCTTTTAAAACTCAAGGTGTAATTTTCCGTGGAAACAGTACTAGACATAATAATATTATTAGCAATTCACCAACTGATAGAATGAATGGATATTTCAGTGTCTTGGACAGTGTGCTTTAATGTGCAAGAATTTCTTATTTAGTATCTTTAATAGTTTGTAATCTAGGTTCTATATAAATGCTACCAGAGACAAAGGATTTTATTACATTTTTAAGGTAAACCATTTAATTTTTAGATAACTCAAAATATAAGGAATTTCTCTATTCCTGAGATAAAAGTTTTGCTATCACTACTTTTACCCATTGTTTCTAATTCTCTACCCTGTGAAAGATTGTGAAAGGACAGCTTCTTTCATAGTTCTTTAAATGTTTAGGTAAGAATCATTTCTCTTTCTCACTGTAAGCTAAACACCATCAAGTATTTTATAAGCAATACATTTCCATATGTGTCTCTGTTGAGGACCTTTTAACTCTGCATTCCAGTTCTTTTAAAAAATGTGCTTATTAGGAATTAACTTTAAGAACCAGATTTTGTATAATTTTAACTTTTTCCCAAGAGTCTTATATCATTTATGTTTTTAAAAAATGGAAATGGAGGAGAAAACATAATTGTTCACAAATCTGAATATACTTTTTAGTCATTACTGTAACATGCATTTGATTTATGTATTCAGCAAACACTTGTACACTGACTAGTTCTCGTTAATGTTTATTGGATTTACTATGCACCATGCCCTTTTCTAAGCTCTTTACACATAACATTTAGTCACAATAATTCTGTGGGGTGGAGGTCATTTTCACTATTTAACAGATAAGAAATATGAGGCATACAACTATTAGCTAATTTATCCCATATCTCATGGTTTGTACTAAATCTCAGGGTCAAAACTGAGATTCAGACCTAGGCACAAACTCTGAAGTGTGTGTGTGGGGGGGGTGTGTTAGTGTGTGTATTTATGTCTTAATCTAGGCTACTTTAACAAAATACCATAGGGACTTCCCCAGTGGTCTGATGCTAACACTCCACACTCCAAATGAGGGGGCCTGGGTTTGATCCCTGTCCAGGGAACTAAGTTTACACATACCACAACTGAGCCCGTGTGCTGCAGCTCCTGAGCCCACACACTGCAGCTAGAGAAGCCCTTGTACAGTAGCACACACCCAATGAAGCCAAAATAAATAGTAAATAAAAATATAATGATAATTAAAGGAACTACTTCTTAGCAATTAAAAAAAAGAATGTAAACAAAATTTTAATTGTTTTAAATTCTTTTTGTTTAAAGAATTTAAACAAAATACCATAAACTAGAAATTTGTTTCTCATAGTACTGGAGGCTGAGAACTCCAAGATTAAGGTGCCAACATAGAGTTATAATGATGGCCCTCTTCCTCGTTTGTAAACATCTTTTCACCATATCCTCACGTAACTAAGGGAGACTGCCCTTATGACCTCATCACTCCTGAAAGCCTCACCTCCAAGTTCTCTGACATTAGAGGTTCAACATATGAATTTTGGGGGTGAACAAACATTCTGTCCATAGAAATATGTTTAATAGTTCTTTTGTGTGCCTGAAAAATTATCTACCTTTTATAGTAGTTTTAAGTGTATATCATAAAAAAAATCAACTTTTGGATCAGCTCATTTGTAATATGAGAGTTCAGTAACAATAAAAACCATTCATGAATTTGAATACTAGCTAATAACTGTAACTTTACCTATATCCTGATGTGTAAAGTGTGCCTAATACCTGTCTCAAATGGTTGTTTTTCTTAAAGAATTAATATGCATATATACACATATTTGTGTGTATAAATTATACTGTTAAATATGCAAGTATACACAGAGTCTAGTACACATGTTTACAAGACTTATAAATGGCTAAAAGGTAGCATAGCACAGCAATTATTAGGCTAGACTTTGGAACAGAACTGACTTACTACTAGCTGTATGACCTTGGGCAAGTTTCTTAACTTCCTGTGCTGTAGTTTTTTTCCTGTAATATAGGTATAATACTTGTTACAGGGCGGTTATGAGGCCTAGTGAGTCAAGAAAGTCCTTAGATCAGGACTTACACCTTGTAAAGTAGCTATATAAATTATAAAATAGTATTATTTTTTATCAGTATATAATATAGTATCTGTATTTTTGTAAGTTCATTAACTTAGTGTGGATAAAACACAAAATAATGAACTTCAATATGAAGAATTTTAGATATGTGGTCAAATTATTAGATGTATTTCAACAATAATGGATTACTAAGAATAATTAAAATGTTTTATTTGAAGTTTTTGTTTTTGTTTCCAAATAAAAGTACCATGGTATGCTTTATGAAAAGCAGTGGACTTGAATTTTTGGTCTTCCTACACCTGCTACCATCATAGTAGAAAATAAAATATGAAGGCTTTATGCATACACTTAGATTATTACTTAATTAATGCTAGTATGATATTTGAAGTACCCTTAGTCCTGTTTATAAGTAATTATTTTAGTAGAGTTTGTTTGAGAATGCTTTGTTTTCTAACCAGTCAGGTAATAAGTAGGGAATTTAGTTTAATTGTTGAACAGATTAGTCAAAATGATTTGATTTAATTATAAAGTAATTGTGCTAGTAAAACTTTGAACAGTGATTAAACTCAGCTTCCGACTCAGAATAGTCACTTCTATAGTATCCCTGGGCAGGTGGTCCTACAACTCTACTTGAATATTTTCCTGACAAATGCTCATATTATCTGTATGCATAAGGAGATTCTATTTAAATGACTTTAAGCTTATCTCAAACTTTATAATTCTTTATTCTTTGAAAATATTAACTTGCAATTTTAAGCAGCAATTGATCCTAGTAAATAATTTTTAACATACTATTTGACTTACAGATTGCCCACGGACTCCAGATACTCCCAGTAGTGACTCTCGTTGTTCCACCAGCAATAATAGGTTGATGGCCTTACAAAAACAATTGGATATAGAACTTAAAGTAAAACAAGGTGCAGAGAACATGATACAGATGTATTCAAATGGATCCTCAAAGGTAAGTACAGTAAATAAATGTAGGTGTATATAGTTGATTCTCATTATTCACAGATTTCCCCATGTATGAATTAGCCTACCTGATAAAATTTATTTGAAAGCCAGAATCAGAATCTGTGGCACTTTCACAGTCATTTGTGGACAGGGTACAGAGGTATAAAAAATTTATCTAGTGTGAATGTTCACAGTTGATGTGAACAAGATGATACTCTTCTTGTTTAAGCTCTTACACTGTAAACAAGTATCCTTTTCATGGTTTGTTTAGCACTACATTTTTTGCATTTTTGTACTTTTCATGATTTTACAGTTTAAGCACTGTATTAGGATTTCTGAAATCTCTTTAACCTCCAAATTTATAAGTATTGACAATAAAACAAGTTGGAAACTAAAGATTTCTAAAGTAATACTTTCTAAATTGCTCATTTCTACCAAAATCAATCAGTAAAATTTTTTTAAGTCTGAGTAAAGGGTGCAGAGGAACTGTCCACAGAAAACCGAAACTTTTCTGTAAATCTATAGTTGTTCTGTTAATAAAACAAAAAATTTATTTAAAAACATTTAAGCTATAATGAACTTTCCATCACTACATACAGATCTTTAAGAAAGAATAAATGAAAAGAGAAGACATTCTATTGTTAATGATTGGACTCATCTTTGGGTGTTTAGGGAATCTGGTATGGGCATGTTACTCCTAATTGAAAACTAGTGTTACAGGGAGCACTTGTTACTAATGGGAATGTGTCCTTTTTCTGAGATATAATGTGAAAGAGAAAATGTTAGGAACAACCAAACCAGTTTAACATGAAGGTCCTTTCCAATCTAAGGTTCTATAGTTTTATAATTTTCAAAAAGTCTTAGAAAAGTGGATTTATTATAAAATCCACCCTTTTACTTTCAACTTATTTATTTTAAAGATTTTTGTCTCTCTGAATTAGTTTCTTCCGTATTTTAATAGATATTTCATAATTTCAGAATAAAAGTGAGTAGGATTTTTTTTTTTTTTAAGTTTAGCAAGAATTTAAAATTGGGGGAAGAGAAGGGGACAGTGGGCGTCTTTGCTTGGAGACATGTACCCTACGTGTGTGTGTGTGTGTGTGTGTGTGTGTGTGTGTGTGTGTGTGTGTTAGTCGCTCGGTTGTGTTCGACTCTGCAACCCTATGGACTGTATCCTGCCAGGCTGCTTCTGTCCATGGAATTCTCCAAGCAAGAATAGTGGAGTGGGTTGCCATTCCCTTCTCCAGGGGATTTTCCCTACCCTACCAAACATGGGTCTTCTACTTTGCAGGCAGATTCTTTACCATGTGAACTACCAGGGAAGCCCCTAATGCAATTTGTGAAAATGCTGAAAAGACAGAAATGTATATATGTTATAAATAACATTTTTTTAAGCTTAATTGTGAAAATTAGTTTCAGTATATGCTATATTTCAAAATAATTTTAAAATTATTTTTAGAGAAATATATTTATTCCTACTTGATATATTATTTACATGATCTAATACTATACTACTTCACTAACTTTGAACTTTTATTATGGGGTAGTAGAGTTGGTTTTTCTCTGTTATTTTTAGTATTAATCATTAGTTTGGGTTTTTGTTTTTGTTTTATTCCCACTTTTATCAAATGTTATTTTGGGCTTCCTTTTTAAAAGGTAAATATGGTGTTCTTGAAGCTGTGAATGCACCCTATTATACTCAGTGTTTTGAAATGAAAACATTCTGGAGTAAACTTTTAACCTAGGATTAGATTAGATTTTAACCTAGGGATTAGATTGAGAGATTGATGAATCCTTGAAGTTATAAGCAAACTGTAGCCTGCCAGGCTCCTCTGTCCATGGGATTTTCCAGGCAAAGATACTGCAGTGGGTTGCCATTTCCTTCTTCAGGGGATCATCCTGACCCAGGGATTGAATCTGCATCTCCTGAATTGGCAGGTGGGTTCTTTACCACTGAGCCACCAGAGAATCCCCAATATTCTGATACATAAGATGAATAAGAGTGCCACAGGTTTCACCATATTCTCAAAGTGGTCTGTAATCAACACCCTCCCTTGCCCAAATTTAATAGATTTATGGATGTATTAAAAGGAAAACATAACTTATAATAGCCACAGGTTGAAAAATAAACAGGCCTGTGAGTAGCCTGATAAAATAAATGGATAATTTCCAGTAGCCTTTTATTTTTAATTAGATTCATTAATTTGAGAAGGGGTCAAGTTCAATATCCAGAGCATATCGGCAGCCATTATAGTCTCTGAGATAGTCCTGTGAGTTATTCTTGTTTAGATTTGGTTCTAATAGTAATAGTCATCAGTTCTAGCAGTTATTTTCAATGAAAAGCCATGACCTAATGGGGAAATATCTGAAACTCCACAAAGGCACAATAAGACTTTTTCTTTTTTCCTTTTCCCCCACTGAAAGAACTTTAAGCAATGAGGTATAGTGAGAGGTGTAGCTAGCATAAAGACAAACCAGATTATAAGTACTTTGTAAAAAATTAAGCAGTTGAGATTCTATCTTATAAGATGTGTGGAGCTGTTGAAAGACTTTTAGCAAAGAAAATGCATGTTCAGATTTAAAATTTAGATCGTTCACATCCATCTTCCTAAGACTTGGAAAATTAATGAGAGGGTCAAGTCTACAGACAGCAAGTTTAAGGAAGCTTTTGTAGTAGTTCAGGTTAGACATGCTTAAAGCCTCTTATAGCACCAGTAAAAAAAAAAAGAAGACAGAGTCAAGCAGTTTTGGTACAATAAAAATGTGCTGTCTGGATATGAGGAAGAAGTCAGAAGTCTGTTCATTTATCAGTGAACAGACTGATAAATGGTAGTATCCTTCACAAAGAGAGGTAATTCTTAATGAGGAGCAGATTTAGGGATAGGTATGATTAATTCAATTAGGCAGTAGTTAGTCCTCTTCAGAACTTTGGTTATTGGATTCTGTGATCCAGTTTTTACCCCTGTACATGTTAGAGCCTGATTTGTCCTTTTGAAAGGTAAGTCAGATATTTTCACATGCTTATTAAAAACCCTGCAGGGACTTTCTAGTAATTTTCGACAAAATCTTACAAAAGAGTCCTTACTGTGATTCTGCAAGTTTGTACATGATTTACCCCTGGCTACCTTGCTACCTTATCTTCCAAAACCCTCTCATTCTCTCTCGTTACACTCTAGCCATATTGGCTGCTTTGCTGTCTTTCGAACATACCAAGCACACTTAGCTCAGAGCCTTTGAGTTTACTATCTCTGCCTAGATGCTCTTCTCCTAAGTGCTTTAATGGCTTTCTCCCTTCATTGAAATCTCTGCTCATATGGTACCACTTCAAAAAGTTCTTCATTACTATCCTATGTAAAATAGCACCTGCTGCCTCTCTTTATCCCCTTCACTGCATCACCTCTACCTGAAGTAATAATTTACACAACTTCTTTATCTATTTTCAACATCAGAGTGCAACTTCATGGCTCTTTAAGTAGTACATTGATTTTCAGAATAATTTCTGAGGGCTTGATAAGACATGTTGAAGAAATGTTCCCTGTTCATATATTCAGATGACAGACCAAGCTGTTCATTAATATATTGGATTATTTCGAGCCTCTACCACTTTTGAAAAAAAATGCTTCTAAGTTTTTTCATTCCCATTCATCATTGAAAGTACCTGACCATCTGTCTAGGCCTCCCTTTCTCAGTCTTTTAAAACAGATAGTCAGTGGGAATTTGTATGACTCAGGGAACTCAAACAGGGGCTCTGTAATAACCTAGCTAGAGGGGTGGGATGGGGAGAGAGTTTAAAGAAGGAGGGGACATGTGTATACCTATGGCAGATTCATGTTACTTGGCAGACACCAACAAAATTCTGTAAAGCAATTATCCTTCAGTAAAAAATAAAAATAAAGCTAACATATTCCAGTCTTGTATATACCAAGGGAACATTTCATGCAAAGATGGGCTCAATAAAGGACAGAAATGATACGGACCTAACAGAAGCGGAAGATATTAAGAAGAGGTGGCAAGAATACACAGAAGAACTATACAAAAAAGATCTTCACGACCCAGATAATCATGATGGTATGATCACTCACCTAGAGCCAGACATCCTGGAATGTAAAGTCAAGTGGGCCTTAGGAAGCATCATTATGAACAAAGCTAGTGGAGGCGATGGAATTCCAGTTGAGATGTTTCAAATCCTAAAAGATGATGCTGTGAAAGTGCTGCACTCAATATACCAGCAAATTTGGAAAACTGAGCAGTGGCCACAGGACTGGAAAAGGTCAGTTTTCATTCTAATCCCAAAGAAAGGCAATGCCAAAGAAGGTTCAAACTTCTGCACAATTCTACTCATCTCACATGCTAACAAAGTAGTGCTCAAAATTCTCCAAGCCAGGCTTCAACAGTACATGAACTGTGAATTACAGATGTTTAAGCTAGTTTTAGGAAAGGCAGAGGAACCAGAGATCAAATTGCCAACATCCGCTGGATCATTGAAAAAGCAAGATGGTTCCAGAAAAACATCTATTTCTGCTTTATTGACTGTGCCAAAGCCTTTGATTGTCTGGATCACCACAAACTGTGGAAAATTCTTAAAGAGGTGGGAATAAGACCACCTGACCTACCTCTTGAGAAATCTGTATGCAGGTCAGAAAGCCTCAGTTAGAACTAGACATGAATCAACAGACTGGTTCCAAATAGGAGATGGAGTATGTCAAGGCTGTATATTGTCACCCTGCTTATTTAACTTATAGGCAGAGTACATCATGAGAAACACTGTGCTGGAGGAAGCACAAATTGGAATCAAGACTGCTGGGAGAAATATCAATAACCTCAAGATATGCAGATGACACCACCCTTATGGCAGAAAATGAAGAAGAAGTAAAGAGCCTCTTGATGAAAGTGAAAGAGGAGAGTAAAAAAGTTGGCTTAAAGCTCAACATTCAGAAAACTAAGATCATGGCATCCGGTCCCATCATTTCATGGGAAATAGATGGGGAAACAGTGACAGACCTTATT